GCCATCGCCATTAGGTTTCAGGCCATTGCTCTTAGGTTGGAGGCCATTGCCATCGCTCTTAAGTTGGAGGCCATCGCTATTAGGTTTCAGGCCATCGCTCTTAGGTTGAAGGCCATCGCTCTCAAGTTGGAAGCCGTCGCTATTACGAGGCCATCGCAATTAGATTTTGGGCCATCGCTATTGGGTTGGAGGCCATCGCCATTAGGATGGGCCATCGCTCTTAGGTTGAAGGCCATCGCTCTCAAGTTGGAAGCCATCGCTATTAGGAGGCCATCGCTATTAGATTGGGGGCCATCGCTATTGGGTTGGAGGCCATCGCTATTAGGATGCCATCGCTAGTAGGTTGGAGGCCATCGCCCTTAGGTTGGAGGCCATCGCTCTTAGGGGGGAGCGCATAGAATTTGCCTCAGTGCTCGGTATGTTTGATGCCCCGAGATCTGCGCAATTAAGTCCATCGGCGGAGGAGGCACCAGGCACCAGCTGGCCCCATCAGAAGACCACCATGGCAGTGACCAAGTATATTCATTTGACATCAGCAGAGTGTGGGTTTCTCTGTTGTGGTGTTGGTTTGAGTACCCCAATGTCCTACGAAGCAACTAGTCACAGTCTGACGCATGTCTGTGTGAACTTGTGAACATGTATTCGGACCGCCGCTGCCGCTATGCTCAAGAGATCCAAAGGGCTTCAGGAGAAACTTTTTCCTGGAGTTGCCAGGGTCATTTTTTTGCCCATGTCCGTGCAGTCATGGCGTGACGAGCGAGGTCTGGCCCTGGATGCCGACTTCGCCTTCTACTTTGCCGGGGCAGGGTGGGCTTGAGGTGGCCCACGCCTGGCTCGTGTCGAGCTAGAGTTGGTGAAGGGTCAAGTTGCGACGTGCGCGTGGTCACTGCTGCCCAGACTCCTTCGCTGAAGGCGTTGGTTCTGCTGGTGGTGCGTCCATCGGGTGCTCAGCAGGTGCTCCACCATTCAACCCTTCACCGCGACTTGCGCCTTCCTTTTCGAAATCGTGTCCCTGCCCTTTGACCACGCGAGCATTCCTGGTAAAGTTTCCCAGGCTCAAAGGTCCAGCAGTGCTTCTCGCATTTGCTGATTTGAGATGATCTGGCCCTTGCGCCGGCGAAAAGTTGGAGTCAAGTGGGTGTCACTAAGTTGGATGCCATCGAGGCGTCTTGTTGGACACCGCTGAGCACAAGGGCAACAAGAGGGCAACAAGAGGGCGTGGCGTTACCATCGCGCAAAGTCCACTGACCTGCGCCGCATCCTGCTGCAGCCAAATGTCAGCGTCCAGCAAGCCTGTGCCCTCCTTGGTACCCTTTCCGCAGATGAGAAGCTTGGTTACCCCCGGGAACTTTCTGGATCAGAATGCTTTCGGTCGCGTTGCCCGTGCTGGCTTGAATGCCCTTACCCAAGGGCTGGAATCAGTGCTCGACTTGGCTGAAGCCATTTTGGATTAAGCCTCGTCGACTTGTCCGGTTTTTGCTTAGTGCCAGTCGAGGCCTGTGGTCACGAATGTGCGTCGCAGGACCAACTACAGCAAGGCAAGGCTGGATTCCTCGTAAGTAGTTATGACCACGCTCGTGTCAGAGCTGTGGTGCAGGGTGTTGACCTTGCCCCAATTTGTTCAGGGATTGTCTGGTGGATAGACAATATCGCTGCGCTCATGGCCTTGGTTCGAGGTCGCTCTGAACATGACGAACTTGATCGCCTGGCGCAAATTGCCCCCAGTTCTGCTAACTGGAGTGATCGGATGTCGTGAGACGGGCTGCGAGCCGTGGTGGCCAGTCCTAGTCTTTTTGTTGTGGTCATTGCCATTCTGAGTGCTCTTTCATGTTATCGCATTCTTCTATATAGCATTAGTGCTTTGGGATTTGAGTGTTGCTCATTCACTGCCGGTGTGTGCATTTCACCTCCAATGAACCTGGAAGCTTGACCAACGTAAATGAGAAGAGTGCTTCTCATGAAAGTCACAGAGCCAGATCCCCTGCTCCGCATCGCAGAAGAAGAGAAGGGCTGCGGAGTCGACAGTTGCGTTGAACATTTTTTGGTGTCTTGTGCTCATAGGGCAGGGGTGGTGGACATAAAAACATTCTAACCAACTACTCTCACACATCTCTATGTAGACTTGTGAACATGCGTTCGTATCGCCGCAAGAGATCTAAAACGGCTTCCCCCCCATCCCCCCAACCCTGAGGGAAACAGTTTTCGCCTGAGTGCAGAACGGGAGGTGCCGACCCCGCCTCAGTGGCAGTAGCATCATTCCGCTGTTGGGGCTGGGTGGGATTAGGGTTACTTACAGCGTGTGGCTATTCCATCCCGCGGTGTGTAGTGGGCCAGTGGGATTTGAGCGCTGCTCATTCACTGCTGGTGTGTATGAGTATCACGGCCATTGAACTTGCAAGTTTGACCAAAGTAAATGGGAAGAGTGCTTCTCATGAAAGTCAGTGCCAGCTCCCTGCTCCGCGTTGCAGAAGAAAAGAAGGGAGCTGCCGGGTCGACAATTGTGTTGAATGTGGCGCGTTCAGACAGTGCGCGAGTCTTGGTGGTTCCAGACATGAGGTGCCAGGACAGAGGGCGTGAGCGTTAGTAGTTCGTTGGTCAAATGATGCCAACTCCAGGGCTGCTCAAACGGTTTAAGCCACAAAGGCAACCAGGTATCGGCGACCAGGTATCCGAGTACACGCTGTAGTATATACATGATTATATATATATATATATTTATGTAACTGTATATTTAGATAGACAAACGCAAGCACACACACACACACATATATATATATATTTATATACAGAGATATAGGCGCAGATAGATAGTTGGTTCGACCCTTTTTGAAACACTCGAAGCCTGCAGGTGAGAAAGATCGGCTTGCAGTCGAGGCTCTTCTTTGCTTAGTGTGCCAAGCCGTGCCTTCTTGTCGGAGATTTGAACACAGGCTTAGGTTTAGGAACTCGAGACACGCATGAGGAACACTTGAAGATAATTGAAGAGTAATTGGGGACGCTTGAGACATCCGCAGATCCCACCTCACAAAAGAAACTATGTTGCGACTCCGGTTTGGTTCAGCTGCCTTTGATGTGGCACGCAGTTGTTGCCCTCCTGAAGAGCCTCAAGAACTATACCAAAATACAGGAAAGACCTTCCTGTCAGCCAGGAAGCAGAGCCTGAACGAGTGGGCGAACTGCTTGAAACACAGATGCGGGCAGCTTGGAGGGGCTGCCTTAAAGTGGAAATAAATCCATGGAAAGATGTAGAAGAGAGGAAAGATTTTCACGTCGGAGGAATCGAGAAGGCCTTAGCGCCTACCGCTCGGCAATTCTTTTGTATGGCTTTCTTAAGGAGAGACTTTGAGAAAGCAGCGCACATGCGCAAGGACCCAAGCGTCTAGCGGGGATATTGTCTTTCAGACCAAGTTTCAGCCAGACTGTCGAGGTATTGATGAAATAGAGCGCCAGTGCAAAGTTGCAAAAAGCGCAGCCACTGATTTGGAGGACAGATAGGATTGGTTGTAACGGGATTCCCAATGATTTGATTACCTTAGTTACCTTTCAACATTTGGTCATTTGGCAGGAGCTGGTCAGCAGGCTGAGGCTGCATCCCCAGATGATTTCAACCTGGAGATTGGGGCAAAAGTTATCCCGGCAAGAGATCCCAAACAGTGTGTGTGTAATCCTTAAAATCATATAGGGATCCTTTTGGATTTTGTTTCACAGCAGGGGGTCCAGGCAGT